AAGTGAATGATAGGGACAAACGCACCATAAAACACATTGTGGACAAGGAACCTTTCCAAAGTGCCATAAAAATCAGTGAAGTTGCAAAGACAACTCTAGAGAAGGATGTCCATCCAGAAACGATCCGTAGGACAATAAAGGAATTCGGCTTTGGCTCATACATATACACCATGCAAGAAGCCGCACGTGTCAAAAAAAAAATCGTCTTCAGAGACTTGAATTCGCTAAAACCTACAAAAATCATCCCGTTGAGTTCTGGAGAAATGTTATTTTCACTGACAAGTCGAAATATAATATATTTGGATCAGATGGCCGTTGTAAGGTTTGGCGGCAACCTGGAGATGCCTATAAACCAAAATATACGATTAAAACCGTAAAGCACGGTGGAGGAGGAGTAATGGTTTGGGGTTGTATGGGCTCTGCAGACGTCGGGAACATGAAATTCATTGACGGAATTATGGATCACAAAATGTATATCGAGATCCTTAAAGGGAACTTAAAGCAAAGCGCAGATATGTAAGCTTGAAATTGGATCATCTTTTTACTTTTACCAAAATAATGATCCAAAACACACGGCCTTAAATACTCGCACCTGCTTAAACCACCTCCGCAGAGTCCCCACCTAAACCCCATAGAGCACGTATGGAATCAACTTGAAAAAACATAAGGGGTCGCGAGATTCGCAATAAAACGGATCTAAAGGCAGCGCTACAGGAGGAGAGGAACAAAATGGACCCATCTTATCTGGAAGCATTAGTTTCATCCATGCCAAGACGACTTAATGAAGTCATTAAAATGAAGGGATACCCCACGAAAGTTTTAAGTTTTTCCTAATTTTTAAGTAAACTATGGGAAAAAGTTGTTATATTAATTTTTAATATTATTAATATTGTTGAAATAAACAACATGGCATCCTTTCTTTTTTGTTTATATTTTAATAAAGGAGTTATCGTTAACTAAAGAATTTATAATCTTTATGGGGTCGGAAACGCTTCCTTCTACCTGTTACATACTTTCCGACGACTCTAGTATACCCTTTTACTCTACTAGTAACGGATATAAAAATGTGTCATATTAATTTGAGATTGGAATCTGGGAGCAAGAACGATTTATGCTTGAATCCGAGAACGATTCATTTCGAAATCGAGATCGATTCGATATGTAAGCCGAAAAGACTTAATCTCCATATCTAGAACACTCATTCTCAAAAGCCAATTGCAAGCCGAGAAGACTTCGACCTCGGTTTTGAGAATTTGAGTGTGTCGAACATGGCTCACTTTTGAGATTAAAAATACTTGTATTAAGAACGATTTTTTCTCTGAGTGTATGCAAGGGTAGACAAATAATAGAGCAAGAATTATTTATCAATATTACCGCAGAAATCTCTTGGTGCTGAAATTGGGTGAAATGATCATTTATGTCCTTTAGTAAAATAATGTTTATACAAAAATAATACCCAAATTCCCAAAATTATGCGATTTTTCTGGCATATTTATTAACGACTAATTCGTGTGATTAAAATAAATATGAAATTCAATTTTATCAGGGATATGAACTCTTTTTTTAACGTTTTCACCCTGCTATGACTTCGAACTGATATGGAAATCTCGGAAGTCTGGTCACTCCTCCGTCCACCCAAAGTTTATTTTTTATCATATGTTTTTTTCTTGTTTTTCCAAATTGGGAGTCCCCTCGCCACCGGCACTGCTTCCCCTTGACCAAAGACGACGACAGCCAATGAAATATATCCATAAAAGAAAATAGACACAAAAATCGGGAGCATATCTTTGGCTAGCAGTTGGGTAATGTTCGGGCTCCGATAAGGCGATTACGGCTTACCGAGAACCCGAACCACAAGAATGAAAAACCGACAATACCAAACATAAAACCCCCAGCTCGAATCCCAAGACCCAGCCCAAGAAACTCGTGGCATTTAAACTTGGTAATAATGACTCATCAGCAAACCGAATACCATTTTTCCATTGACCTTCCTGGAAGGGAAAACAGGGAAAACAAACTCCAAAGAATTCAAATACACCGCACATCTGTGGTTCATTTATAAGTAGCCACTTGAAATTCATGAACATTTGCTTTATTTCTCTAGGTAGTACCAACATCCAATATTATCCTCATCTCGTTTTCATCATTCTCGTTTTCCTTCTTGGCAATATTTGGATATTACCGAGTACCCTTAAGTGGAAAAGTATAAACTCAACAAAAAATTTACCCCGAATTAAAATAAACGCACGTGTCTTAAAAACGCCATTGAATTAGAAACATTTTTCTTGAAAGCAGAACATTTTTATTATGTTTAAGTTTCTTGGATTGAATTTATTGAATCAATGAGTGTAAGAGTATATATTTTTATACCCGTTACCTGCTACCTGTCTATCGGCCACATTTTGAAGATTTTGTAAAAGTGTAAATGCAGTTTTATTTTGATTAAAAATATCAATCTTCAAGCCAAAAATTGTCTTAATCAGACTATTCAAAAGTTATAAACAGATAAAGAAAAAAACTACGCTTGGGGGTGTGAAACATTGTGAGCAATCGCTTTCCGGTTTGCAAATCTCTATCTCCCTAGCAATCCCCTGAGGTGAGTAACGGGTATCTGATAGTCGATGCCGTTGTCTATAGCGTTCTCTCTTGTTCAATTTGGACTCCAAATCCATAATTAATGCATTCCTGTAAGTTAACGAACTTAATTATGTTGGTATTACTTCGGGAAGGTCGGAATTTTGAGAACGCGTTGAAAGCAAGAGATAACGCTATATTCGATGCTATCGACTATCAAATACCCGTTACTCATCTATAGAGAGTGCGAGAGGAATGGAGATATGCTTGGTTGTACCTAGCGCCACACAACCCATAAGCGGCTTGTGGCGTATTAGTGAAAACAGCTGATTTGCATGTGGTGTGCAATCTCGATTGAATTTGCAAAGTATTGACTATTACTTGGGTATAACTTCTTAATGACTAGTCTGATTTCAATAATTTTTGCCGTGTAGATAATACAAAAAAATCGAATTTAAATTTTTATAAAATGTTAAAAAATGTGGGCGCTAGACGGGTTTTAGTTTTATAGTCGTTTGTGGGCGTTAGAGTGGTCGTGGCACCCTGCAGAAACAAACATGCCCAATCCCAAGTTTCTAGCTTTTATAGTTTCTGAGTTCACAGCGTTCATACGAACGGACAGACAGACAGACAAATGGACAGACGGACATGGCTAGATCGACTCGGCTAGTGATCCTGATCAAGAATATATACACCTATCCCTCGATTTCGTTTCGTTTTGCGTTTTTTCGAAGTTGCGTCGCTTCTTAATTAGAACTAATTTTCATTGTGCGTCGTTAGATTTTCGATGTTGCGTTGTTTTGGGATGAAGCGTTAATATAATTTTTAAAAAAATGTTCAGCAAACATTGGAACAATTTTTTTTAAAGAAAGCCGGTCTACGACAACAGGCACTAAAGACTCGTCAGAGAGTGATTAATTCAAATTTTTTTTCTAATTCATTTTGTTTTTAATGAATTAGTTTCTTTTTGTTTTTATATGTATAATATGTAATAAAATGAAATTTTATTTTGGTTTTTTTTTGCTCACTTTCACTTTCTCAATTTTCTTTTTAAAAAGTAGTATTTTTGTAACCCTGGAACCCATCTTCGAGCTTTACATGGTTTGCTATAGAAAATCCTAGTTCACTTTGCGTCGTATTTTTTTGGAACGTATCCCCGACGCAAAGCGAGGGATAGGTGTGTACCTTATAGGGTCGTAAACGCTTCCATCTACCCGTTGCATACTTTCTGATGAATGTAGTATACCCTTTTACTCTTCGACCTGATTTTACTTCTTTTTAAAATTGTAAAAAATTTTAAAATATATTTTCAAACTAAGCCTACATACCTAAACTAAATTAAATGGAATTTCACTGAACTAAAGTAATTCGGTGACTGATTATGGTATTTGCCAGAAAAAATTGAAATCGTTTTTGTGGCGCTTGGAAGCCCTAACTTCAGTTCGCTATTGTCAGCATGAGGTAGAATCGGAATAGAAATAGGAAAAGGACTGTTAACCACTAACAAGACAATCCACTTATAGACTATTTACAACATTCCCCATTCGTGACAAATTGACATTTTCTAATGTTTGGTTTCGCTTAGAAGCCATAGAAACCGCAAGATTGTTTGTCCTAACACCCCACCCGAAAATTTCGCGGCTGTCAATCACGGCTGGTGCGTTGACCTTTCATTGATATTCCCTCGTTTGAATTTCATTTAACGTGGTATTTCCCGCATTTTCCAGCATTTTCTCAGGAACTAGGCGCTTTTCAGGGTGGCCAATTACCCCACCTCCAGAATCACAAAAAAATACTCAACTTGGAGCGACGGAAGGCGGCTGTTTGACAAATGGCCTGTCAGTCGGAGCTGAGAAAAACAAACATGTATGCATTTATTTTGCACAGCCGAAAATTTGAAAAAAACAATGTCGAGTGTTTTGGATAAAATAAAAATGGTTAGCTTAGAAATGCTTGAAATTAATTATATATCTACAATAAGTTGAAACTGATTTTGTAAAAATCTAGCCACTTAAAGCAAGCATGAATTAAAATGGTGTTGAGTTTACACAGCTTTTTAAGATATTTAAGATATCAAACGAAACTTTGTCTTGACGAGATAAGTTTACCTGGCTAAGAGGTGTTTTTGTTTGATTTAAATTTAGATGAAAACCATAGAAGAACCTGGAGTCCAACTGTCTATGAAACAATCAACGGGCATTGACGTTTCAACCAAATATCAAATGAAATATATTGCCCAAATTGATGCAGTTTGATAATCCTTTGATACAAGTTTTCATTTGCTGATAAACTAATTATCTGAATGTTTTGACGACGACCACCCCATTGTTGGCTCCTTCCCCCTCTTTTAATCACGAAATTAGGTAAGGTCCTCTGACCTCTCATTCTCTTCCTCTTCCGACCGCCTGCTGATGTCTATACCTGTTATGTAATAGCATGTTGGGTGTATAACTTTTATGATTATGATTATTCTTTTGCCCCATCTCCATCTGTGCCCATCCATGGACAATGCTGCTGTTGGTGTTGGAGCTGCTGATATGGCCTCTGTTACTATACGTTGTTATAGGGGGCTGGTGTGGCTCTGAAGAGATACGTGAAAGTCACGTGAGTCATTAAAATGAAATAGCAGTCAGGTCTAAGTAGAAGCATGATGAAGGGAAAATGGGAGGCGATAATGTTGCTACTGTGGCCGTTGATGTGGCTTTGGTTTAGTTGCTGTATCCTGGTGTTGTTGCTGCACTGGCACAGGACTTGGCTACTGAAAAGGCAAACGTAGCTTTTGTGCACAGAAAACAATTATATAAGGTTTATTAGCTCATTAGTGTCATAGAAAGAAAGCCCGGACCTAACACACATAGATTGAATTCCTTCAAAAAAGAAATTATACGTAGTTTATTTGGTTTTTGTTTATAAATAAAACAAAACAAGTAGAGTAGTCGTGACACTTCGCTAAAGCAAACTTGAGTCTGAATGAATAATTTCAACTTTGTAGCTCGAGAACTCTATGGTCGCAAACACTGCACAAGTTTTTAAACATTTTGTACAAATTTAAATTAGATTTTGTTTTTATTAGCAATATTCATATATGTGCATGCCAAAAATTATTGAAATCGGACAAGCCTTTAAAAAGCTATAACTAAATAACAATAAATATTTTGCAATTCAATCGAGATTGCACACCACATGCAGAAAATCAGCTGGTTTCACTAAAACGCCACCAAGCTGATAGGGGCGCTACGGGCTAGTTGGCGCTATAGGCTAGATGGCGCTATAAAAGATAAAGATAAGTTGCACCAGCAAAGTTTCTTCAAGCATATCTCCATCCCTCTCGCACTTCGTTATGCTGAGTAACGGGTATCTAATACCATGGACTATAGCGTCTTTCTCGTTAATATTAGGATTGTACTAACAATTATAAGATAATCCACATCTATTATCTTTTTAGTTTTCTGCCTAACGTGTTGCAACCAAGCTCAATAGTTGTATACGTTTTCAAAAACATACCTGGTATATTTTTTTAAGTGTTTTGTATCAGTGATGAGAAGCTTAGGGTCATAAACAAAGGATGTTGCTGCTAATGCTGCGATTGGTTGGCGAGTTCATTGTCAACGATAAGTTCATCCGAGCTGCAGTTACTCCTGGCCTTTTGGTCCATGGTCATAAGCAATGCCACCGCCATCGTAATTGATTATTGCCGTTTCCTGCCCCTGCGGGCTTGGATTTTAACTTCCAATTAATGTTCGACATTCCCCCTTAGTCGCTCTCTTCGCGATAAGTGGCAGTCCATCATGCATCTCGGGGGAGTTTTCCAATGCGATTCGATTTCAGATCGTCTTACAAAGGATAGTGTTAATTGCACTATCAGAGTCCTAAATGTAATCTGTTGGGTGACAAAACGAATGATTTAGCTACAGACCTTGTTTCTTGTCTTTATTTCTGTATGATATGTCCTTTTGTGCTTATATAAAAACAAATTGGCATATAGTTTACTAATAATAATAATTTTGTAAATTTAGATATATTTTTAACAAAGTCCAACAACACACTTTGTAAAGTTTCATAATTAGGCGAATCTACTATTCCCAACCAGATATAGCGTTGCTTGCATGGTAGCCGATGATGATTGTAAATGACTATTACGATACGGCCTACAAAATTTAATTTTATTTTAGTTTTTATACTTTTTTACTGACAGAGTAATAGGGTATATTGTATTCGTCGGAAAGTATGTAACAAATAGAAGAGTGCGTTTCGTGATCAATCAGGATCACTACCACAGATCTAGCCATGACCGCCTCTCTGTCTGTCCGTATGAACGCTAAGATCTCGGAACCTACATATAAAGACTAGAATGTTTAGATAAAGCATACATGTTCTAGGGACTCTTAAGCAGCGTAAGTTTGCTTCACCGGAAGCCCGTAGCTAACACATAAATTTAAATTGATTTTATCGCAATATTATGGTCAGTGCTACCTCAACCATCCACTAGGTGGCGCCGGCCGCTAAGTGCCACGCAAAAATTTATGCTTTACAATTTTTAAAATTGGTCAACAGATAAAACACAGTTTAATTAGCTGAGTAACGGGTATCGGATAGTCGAGGCACTCGAAAAATTCAAATATTTATAGCATGTCGTTTCGTGGGCTCGAACTCTGCTCTGCGCTCTTCTAATGCGGTTATTCCACAGCATTGTTCGGCTCATTTATAAGAGCAGTGTATTTGGTCAGACTATACGATTTAACGTAAGTGCGAGCAAAATAGACATACATATGTCAGCTCTAATGATCAATAAATGAGCAAACTTGACAAAACCGATAGGCACTTTTGGTAATTTTTCTGGTATTAAGAAATCCCTCCTTAATTTAATACTTGTATAGTCAAACCGCAAAATTGTAAGTAAAAAGGGAAAATTTTGCTTATTCATTAAACTTTCAGTAAAAATGGGATCGAGTATGAAAACAATGAAGAACGCTATAGTAGAGTACCTCGATTATCAGATACCCGTTACTCAGCTAAAGGGACGAAAGGAAATGGAGATATGTAAGCAGCAAAGCGAGATTGAAAAACCGCCACAAAACAGATTTAAGCGTTATGGACGTTAGAGTGGGCGTGGCAAACTTTTTTTGGGTCAATCGATAGGTATTGACGTGACTAGTAAATTTCAGTAAACAAAATTTTCTAGCATAAAAAGCGTTAGAGTGGGCGTGGCATATTCGCGTGACAAACTTGCGCTGCGTACAAGGCTACGGAATCTAAGTCTGAAATCCCAATTCTCTATATTTGATAGTTTCCGAGATATCCGCGTTCATAATTACGATTTTTTTAAGTTTGTGGGCGTTTAAGTGAGCGTGGCAAACTTTTTTGGGTCAATCGATAGGTATTGATGAGAACAATACATTTCAGTTAAAATTTTTATTCTAGCATCAAAACTTTAGGAACAACAGTTTTGTCGGCGTTAGAGTGCGGGTGGCACCCTGCTGAAGCAAACTTGCGCTGCTCTTATAATGTCCGAGATCTCAGCGTTCATACGGACAGACGGACATGGCTAGATCGACTCGGCTAGTGGTCCTGATCAAGAATATATGGGGGCGGAAACGCTTCCTTTTACCTGTTACATACTTTCCGACGATTCTAGTATACCCTTTTATTCTGCGAGTATCGGGTATAAACATTATTTTTGCGTCTTAATTACTTTGTTGCTACCACATTATAACGCACTTTTATTGGTTGACAATTTTATGCCTACTTATAAGTTAAATTTAGAAACTTAGAACATTTAAATCAGCTAGTTAAAGTTATTTGAGTTATAACGTTTAAAGTAAACGTTCAAATGCTAAAGTGGACACATCTTTTTATCCGAACAAATCCTTATAAATGAGCCGAGCAATGCCGTGGTATAAGCGCACAAGAAAATATTTCAAGCTTAACGTTGCAACCCGTCTGCTCGCTAGACCACGCTGTAGTGCAAAATTTGAGTTAAGAACAACTTTTACTTAATTTAAGAACTTTCGTTTGGTTGTTGATTTTAATGATTTTACTTATTTCAATAACAAAATGTAAGAGCAACACGTGCTTAACTAAAGACTTCTGTTCTTTCCTGTATACCTATCTACATGCTGAGAATTGTACCCATTGAATTATTATTTTAAAAGTTATGTCTGACTAAGTTAAACAGGCTTTGACATGGTTAGTAAAATTACTACCCTCCGCTAGGTGTCGTGGCTCTGACATCTGAATTTTATTTTAATTGAAAAGCGTTCTTGCTTGTTGTATATTATTTATATATTATGTTATATACATTGGTCAGTTGACCAAAATTATTTTGCTGTGTGTATCTACCGCTAACGCGTCTTTCGCAGCTTTTACTGAACTCACTCTTAATTGTTTAATGCCAACCACATTTTGCTTTAATTTATTCATATGGCGATTTATTGATTTGGCCGCGTTAAATAAATTGCCACTGCAGTTTTGATTTCAGCGCCTCGTCATGGCCATAATTTTAATTTCGTTTGTCAATTGGGAAAGCAATTGCATTACGAGCCTTTGTTGTTACTCAATTAACATTTAATTATTCGCAAATGCGAGTCCAGCTTAAACATACAACTGACCGACTGAGAATCGGAATGACTTGCCAACCAACTGACCGCTGCAGCGACTGAGAAACCTTGCGAAACCCAACTGAAATATGTAAATGTACCGAGTAATGGGAAAATAAAGTAAAAACGCTGTAGTGAAAACTTCAGTTGTCATGGCTACTAATTGAAAAGGCCGCAAGCAAGGGGATGAAATACGTGGTGGTCACCGCCGGTATCGGAATCCCCACGGGACATCCATAGCTGAAAGCGACAGCTAAAGCGATCGCTGAAGGGTTGGGAATGCGGCTGTCGCAAGGGGCCAGATGCCAAGGGCCCAAGCTCATCGCAGGTGAAAGGTAACCGGTTCCGTGCCCAAAAGGAGAGCCTTTCACCATAATATTCACATTATTGAGGGAGTGTAGGGTATAGTGACGAACGATTCGTTTTCTGAATGTCCCTTTTCCAAACATTTATATTTTTCAAACGTTTAAGAGCAGAAAGTTTCTGACATCTATTGAGCGTATTTCTGTAAAAGTTCGATGGTAAAATTCCAGCTGAGTTAAATACTGCCGCTCTTGGCGTGAACCAATATTGTTTTAACTTTTAAAGTTGTAGGGTAAGGTGACGAACTCGTTGCAAGTGTAAAAATAATTATTATTTTTCCATCAAAAAAGGTTGAAAACGTACAAAAATGCAATGCTAATTTAAATGTACACTAAAAAAAAGTCTACTTCAGTTCTTGGTTTAAATTGAGCAGATTAAGATTCAATTTTTAGCTCACAAAATGCACTACTAATGGTACAGACAAATACAGATAGCTATTTGTCGCTGAACAGGTAATTTAATAAGTTAATCATACTGCTTTTGCTTAAATTCTCTTAATACAATATCTTTATAGTTATAGCAAAAAGTGTGTACACTTTCTAAAATGTTCTTATTCGGCACGCTGCAATATGCGAAAAGCTTATATATTTCTCAGAAGCGGTCAGTATGAAAACATTTTAGAAAGTGTATTCATTTAGACGACTTTACAAGCATTTTTTGCCACAAAATTTGATATCATAATTTTTTATAAGTTGAACTTGCGATCATCACGACCTCATACCTCGCTAAGAGCTTTCTGTTTGATATAAGCAAAGCAAGAAAAACTAAAGAAGTCTGCTAAAGATAATTAAGTAATAATAAATATTAACCCTTTGCCCTTAATATAGTTTAGGGATAGGTCGTACATATTTGCTTTTCCTATAGTCCTATCTCTGTATAATTCAGCCTTGTGTTATTGTCATTTACTGGACAAAAATTCAGATTAACCAATATTTGGCTGCTGTTTTTGCCATTTTTATTAATTTTTGCCAACAAAAAAAGACTGGTTAAGTGACGGCAAGCCGGCAGGAGTCATTTGCCACATTAGCTGCCATTATTTTAATGGCATTTAATGGCCCTGAAATGGTATATAAAAGGAAAAGTGAAAAACGCTTTAATTAGAAAACGAGTGGACAACATCGACTATGCAATAAAATAATAACAATAGTAAAGCATGCTAACGTGACCGTCTCCCACGAGGGAAAAAAGCATAAATTGGGCCAACACAAAAGGCATGCAAGAAAATTAGTCATACTACAAACTATGGCAGTAAGACAAGAAATTGCCTAATATTGTCAGCAAAGGACAAATAAAATTGCGTCCAAAAATCCTAAGAAATCTGTCAGTCCTGGTACGGGATTTTTAACTAATTGTTAAGTTGACTAATTCGACGAACCGTTTTTTCTATTTTCAAGGTGAGCTAAAAGCTATTTTACCCGTTACTTTTAGAGTAATAGAGTATATTATATTCGGGAAAAAGTAGGGGAGTGTAGGGTAAAGTGACGAGCGACTCGTTTTTTTAATGTCACTTTTCAAAAAATAGATATTTTTCAAAGGTTTAAAAGCAGATAGTTGCTGACATTTATTGAGCGTATTCCTGTAAAAGTTCGGTGGTAAAATTCCAGCGGAGCTAAATACTACAACTTTTGGCGTGAACCAATATTTTTATACCCGTTACTCGTAGATTCTTCGGAAAGTATGTAACAGGCAGATGGAAGCGTTTCCGACCCCATAAAGTATATATATTCTTGATCAGGATCACTAGCCGAGTCGATCTAGCCATGTCCGTCTGTCCGTATGAACGCTGAGATCTCGGAAACTATACAAGCTACAATACTGGGATTAGGCATGCAGATTCCTGACATTCCCGCGCTGCGCATGTTTGTTTCAGCAGAGTGCCACGCCAACTCTAACGCCCACAAACCGCCCAAAACTGTGGCTCCTACAGTTTTGATGCTAGAATAAAAATTTAAACTGATCGACCTAAAAAAAAATTTGCCACGCCCACAAACCTCCCACAAACTTCAAAAAATCGTAAATATGAACGTGGATATCTCGGAAACTATCAAAGATAGAGAATTGGGATTTCAGGTTTAGATTCCGTAGCCTTATACGCAGCGCAAGTTTGTTACGCGAATATGCCACGCCCACTCTAACGCCCACAAACCGCGAAAACCTGTGACGCCCACAATTTTTATGCTAGATAAAAAATTTAAACTGAAATGTATTGGTCTCGACAATACCTATCGATTGGTCCAAAAAAATTTGCCGCACCCACTCTAACGCCCATAACGCTTAAATCTGTATACCGCCGGTAGGTGGCGCATTTTAATCTCGCTTTGCTACTTGCATATCTCTATTTAGCTGAGTAACGGGTATCTGATAGTCGAGGTACTCGATTTTAGAGTTCTTCCTTGTTTTTTGTATATTGATAATTCCTTTTTATTTGCAAAAACTCCCTTTTTAATATAATAAGCAGTGGCTCCTGTGTTCATTAAAATTTTTAACTGCTTGTTAGTTTTTCTGTCTACTCCTATTAAACAAGAAATTCTCCTGTATGGGTCTGATCTAAAAAATGATCTTCATTGATATTACTTTATGTTCTTACCTTATTGACTGGCTGATTTACTGTTCCTTCCGGTTCCCTTTTTAAGCTTGAGTTTGCTCCCTGGTTTGGTTTGTACTATAATTCCAATTATTCATCATTCCTTTTCTTTCTTTCTTATTTTGTTTGGAATTTGCTGGATTAAATTGTAAGTTATTTCCCAGATTTGAATTTTCATTTTTTAAACCATAATACCTGTTTGCAAATTGAGCGCGGGAATTGTTTGATTCTAGTTCCTGGACCTTTTCCAAAGCATATTCTCCAATTTTTATTATAAAGATTAAAAACAAGTCTTATGCTCCAATTTTTATACCCGTTCCTCGTAGAGTAAAAGGGTATACTAGATTCGTCGGAAAGTATGTAACAGGCAGAAGGAAGCGTCTCCGACCCCATAAAGTATAAAAATTCTTGATCAGGATCACTAGCCAAGTCGATCTAGTCTCCGTCTGTCCGTATGAACGCTGAGATCTCGGAAACTGTAATTCCTGAGCTTCCTGTGCAGCGCAAGTTTGTTTCAGCAGGGTGCCACGCCCACTCTAACGCCCACAATCCGACAACACTGTGGATCCTGCAGTTTTGATGCTAGAATAAACTTTTAACTGAAATGTATTGTTCTCACCAATATCTATCAATACCTAATGACTTAAAAAAAAAATTTTTGCTACGCCCGCTTTGACGCCCATAGACTTCAAAAAATCGCCAGTATCTCGGAAACTATCAAAGATAGAGAATGGGCATTTCGTATTTAGATTTAGGCGTGGCAAATTCGCGTACGGATTCTAAATCTGAAGTCCCAATACTCTATCCCCGATAGTTTCCTAGGTATCAGCGTTTATACATATCTACGATTTTTTGAAGTTTGTGGGTGTTAAAGAGAGCGTGGGTCAATCGATAGGTATTGATGAGAACAACACAATACAGTTAATATTTTTATTCTAGCATTAAAAATGTATGAGCCACAGTTTTGGGCGGCTTGTGGACGTTAGAGTGGGCGTGGCACACTGACGAAACAAACTAGCACTGTGCAGGGATCTCAGGAATCTGCACGCCTAGTTCCAGTATTGTAACTTTTATAGTTTCCGAGATCACAGCGCACTATGGGGAATTTGACCACTTTTTGTGGCATTAATTAATAACTTAAAAACGAAGCAACACTTAAAAGTTTTGTTTTCTGAGTTAAGTATATAAAGTTAATAGGAATTAAAATACAAAATGATTGGCGTGGTTCCATCTTTTTTTTAAGAAAAAAAAATTTGTTTCCTATTATTCAAATTAAAAAAATTTTTTCTTAATTTTTTTGTTATAAAAAGATTAAAATTTATTTTTAAAAAAATATTAGCTTTTTTTATTTCCCATTTTTTAAAAAAATTGTTATTTAATAACAAAGATAATTTCACACGGTTATTTTTAAGATAACATCAAAACTGGCATTTACCAAACAAAAATGCTAGAAATATGTATGCAGTATTAGGTACAGATCTTGCAAGCCAAATTTTATAGAATGTGCGCAAAAGTGCACTTTTATACCAACTGAGCCTAATGAAAATTAAATACACAATAAGATAAAAAAAGCTGTCAGAGGTGGAAACAGCTGGAATCACTTTGTATTTAGAAGTTGTAGTTTACTTAAAACTTTTTTTTGAGGTTAGAACTTACACACGAATATATGAGCACCACAACCAATAAATACAATATCAAGGTCACAAACACAAGTTAATAATTGGATGGTATTCCAAGAACTGCACATTTTTTGACAAATTAAACTATTAAGAATAATAGGCGATTTACCAGCGCTGCCACCTCGTTGAAATAAAAACAGTCTTTCACAGCTGATAACTTAACAGTGGTGCGCACTGTCCCACTTTTCTGTTAGTAACATTTGAGATTGATGTTATCCTAATACATTCTGATAAACAAAACGAATTGTTAACGACTTTTAAAAAATGGGGTTTGGCCAAAAAAAAAGTGGTCAAGTTCCCCGTAGAGCAGCGTTCATATGGACAGACGGACATGCCTAGATCGACTAGGCCAGTGATCCTGATCAAGAATATATGCACGTTATGGAAACGCTTCCTTCTACCTGCGTAAGCGTTTGCCTCTGATGTAAGA